GACTGGAACTAAGCCGTGCTATTTACTCCCAGAGAGACAGCAGGCCAAGCACGCAACAGAAAGAGGTATTACCTAGTTCACTATTCAGGAAAAGAGGCAGAAGAGGAAACATCAGCTGCTTTAAAGAAATTTCAGTGGTAATAAAATATAAGGGGACAGGATTGATTTAATGCTTGCAGTCTGACTCCCAGATGAAGAATCAATTATCCTGCATCATTTAATCTCCTTAAGCAGGTTGTGACACAAACTAGAAATTAGAAGCATTGTATCTAATATGAAGAGCAGCTCTGCATGGTAGTTAGCATCAGCCTCAGATTTTTTAGAGGAAAACGTAACCGGGATTTGGGGAGCTCTGGAGAGTTGGCTACACTAGATTTCTGCAGTCAGATCCTAATATTTTAAAAGTGGGTTTGTTCATGGTTTACCTAATGGAGATGCAGAGCAGTTATAAGCAAAAAAAAAAAGGAAAAAGAAAAGAAAAAATACTATCCCTGTGGACAAACTCCAGCCCTCCATCAGGAACATGGCCTTCAGAAACGTTGCACAAAATTACTTACCTGACATGTTTCAAACTGTCATCTACCTTCGTGGAAAATTCCTCAGCTACACCAAGCTCCTACTTTTTTTTTTTTTTTAACATCACTCAAGAGAAGAGGAATACCACATGGCTCCTAACTGGGTGTAACCCTTAGCTAAACCAGCCTGCTTTTGGAACAGAACCTCCTAGAAGGAAGAAATGTGATTCAGGAGGAGCCATCTGAATCCCCTCCAGGCTGGGAGAGCTGATAATGAAGGTCCTTGTCCCTGTAACAGATACATAGCTTCCTACTGAGCTTCTCAATTACATTTCTTGTGCGAAGCTGTTGACATAATCAGGTACAAGCATGAAAACAGAAGCAGAATAGCTAAAGACCGACCCTTATTTTGTCAGAGAGGTGTTTTTCCTATGTAGCAGGAGAAAACTAGGGCACAGAATGTAAGCATTACGATTAACTTTCAGGAGAGGCTAAAATTATCCAGGATTATACAAATATAAGCAGTTTGTTTTGAGTTGATTTCCTGTTACCAAAAACAATTCAGTGTTGAAGATATATGAAGGGTTTTGGTTTTTTTGTGGGTTTTGCAAAAGCTCTATGATGAGGCTGATGCATTTTTAAGAAGCAGTCAAACTCAACACACCTATTCTGAATATTCTTCTATGGACCTTGGAAGTGTGAGTTAAGAGTAAAAATCCATATAGAAACTGGCTGAAGCAGTGATTTCTAAACAAAGATCAGGAACCAGCCTTATTATTTGCAGTACCTACATCAGTGGCTGCCAGTGTTCTTTCTGCCAAGTAAGGAGATGCCAAAGGATCTAGGAAACAAAATCTTTTGCATTTCTCACATCACCCCGCGTACTTCCACTCTCTCTCACCACATTTCCCCTAGCTTTGCTCCTTTTCCTTTTTTTTGCCCCAAAGCAATGAGCTCTCCCCATCCCACTGATACTCACCTGCCATCTGAAACTGGGATTTCTGGATCGAGGGATAGACCACCTTGTATCTCACAGCAGAAACAATGGGGTGTGGGGAGCACATACAAAGACAATTGTAATTTAAAGGCTGACCTGTACCACCTATTTTTACACTGAAGTACTCAGGAAACATGCTATGGATCACTTTTGTTCAAAATGTCATGAAGAAGAAACTATGGTAGCCGTTTGTTCAATATGTACTTAAAACTGCAGTTTTATGACTGTCACATATAGTACTCACTAAAACCTCTATACTGGGGACGTTGCTGGCAGCACAAGGACATAATGTCCTGAAAAGCAAAGATTTAAAACCCAATAAAGTGATTCCTTCATTTTCAACACTGTTTGCCTTGTCAGTTGATCTCAAGGAAGAAAGCTTTAAAAAACATTTCAGACTATACGCACCATTCCTGAAGCTTTGCCAAAAGCTTTCTTGTGTCACTGCATCGCATATCAAGAATTTTCAAATAAAGCGAGCTCCGAAGGCTGCTTCTGTACCTACAGAAGGCAGCAACTTCCACTGTAATTGCTGGGTAGTGGCTCTGAATGACAGGCTGCCATTCTAAAAACCATTTTCCTATATAACCACAAAACAACAAGAAATGTGTGAAGGCGGCTAGAAGCTGCAGGCGGAACGATCTGATACGCGCTCACGTTTTGAGCCCTCTCCACTTTTTCAGGTGCTGCATTTCGCAGACAAGCAGCGAGGGTTTGTTCCTTCACGGGAAATACACCTTGCACTTCACACATAAGCCAGCCAAAATGTTGCCAAGTGCCACTGAAGTTCCAATATTCCTTCTCTCCTCAGAGGACAGGCAGCTGCCTGCCTGTTCTCCTGCAGGTAGCTAGCTGGCTTCTGCTGGCACTGCAGCAGTACGCCCTGTGGACTAACAGCCTCAATTGCATCTGCTTAAGACAGGCAGTGCTATTTCTACCTAAGAAATCCCTTCATCTTCACAGAAGGACTTCAATGATAGCAAACGATAATAAAGTTGAAGTGGCTTCTCACATCTGCTGCTGATTCTGCACTTTTGAAAATTTTTTTCAGTTCAATTCCAGAAATTTAAACACAGCTACCAAGAAAAGCACCAAGAACAAAAACCATCCACTCATCTGGCATAAACCTATACACACCACCAAATAAAGCGTATTGGTCCTGCAGCTTTAATACTGTGCTGGCATTAACAAATTAACTACAGTACATGTTCACTGAAAGTTATTTTTATGAAATGCTTTAAAAATCCAGGTAGAAGATAATGCATATGTACATTTCACAGCATTCACTGACTCCAAACTCCTGTTTAATACAAATGAAACAACAGTTGGCCCTTACTGAAGGCATACACTGCCACCCCATTATTTAAGCATAACTTTTTGTATATTTGGTCAGTAATCTCGGCCAAGTTTTATTTCATGCTTTTATGCTTTCATTCCCCTGCCAGATTTTCAGAGAACATGCTAAACACTGCAAACAAACATCTAAAACCCTGACAGACCCAATGCAAGTCTCAGTTCTACTCTTCCCAGCAGCACACACACAAACAGGATTTCCCATTTGGTTGGTTGAGTACCTGCCAGTTCCCACATCCCCGGCAAGATTGCCTTAAGGGTCAACCTCATATCCTATTAGCCCCTTCTCGGCCTAGGCTATGCTAATTGCCTAGGCTCCCCATGTAGTCAGTGAAGAAAGAGGGGAAACATTTGATAAGGCATCTATCCCAATACAACACGAACAACATAAATGTGCTGAGTTGCCCCAAGTGCCTACTGCTCTGGTGACTGTAGGGGAAATCAAGACACCCAGCACAGAACATGCAAGCAACCTTGGGAGAGCTGAAGTCAGGCAAGCTTAATTTTCATAAGCGATGAGAAAAAAATATCAATATGCAAAATCATGACCGGTAAGAAGAGCTAGATAGGTAATGATTACTCATTATTTCTTCACAATGCAAGAATCAGGACAGGTAACAAGCCTAAAAACAAAGGGAAGTATTTTCTTATGCTATTCTACTGTGAAACTTAAAGCTGTAGAACATTATGGAAGCAAAAGTATAAATAGGTTCAAGAAAACTAGATGGCATCATTGAGGAAAAAGACCTAAAGGTTACTGAAATCAAAATATGTGGCTACAATTTTGTATGAACGTAGGCCATCAGCCACAAAATGTCAGATCCTGGAAGGAATAAAAAAAAAACACCAACAAAAAACCCCACCACTGCATACCTTCACTTATACTTTTTTTCCCCAAAACAGTTGCTATCGACAATCTGTAATGTTCATATGCAGCTGAACTCTGTTTAACAAAGTAGTCTTCTAATACTTACTACAACACTAGGTGGCAGGGAAAACATCTAGCTCATCTACAGCATTGAGAACCTTGAACATAGAGTCTCACTTGGCAATAGTTAAGGATTAGTACAATGCAGCAATCTGTTTCATACAACTGGACTTGCTTTGTGTTCCTACGTAGCCTGGAGCAACTTTTTTCAAGTAAAAAACCTGTGTTCGGAGACCCATGCTAGTGGTGCCAGAATACAGACTAATTCCTTCCCTGAGATACCTTGCCCTCTCATTTAAGAGCCCACAGACGATTGCTACATGTTTCTTCCTCTCCAGAAAGAGTTCAAACAAACACAAAGTAAGAATTGAAATCCTCATGGCCTCCAGCTCTGTAAAGACACAGCACCATAACATTTACCTCATGCCTCTACTTTTCTAAAAAAAGTCACTTTATTATTTAAAATTCACATCACTTGTGTGCTACTTTTGAAAATACTGCAAAAGGACAATGATGAAAGAAGTTCTGCAACTCAGGCAGTAGCAATGCAGGCAGGCCAATGCAAATTCTTCTTCAGGCCATACTGATCCTCCTGTCGGTTTCCCTTCTGCAAATGGTAAAAACATCAGACTTGTAACATTTTGCCCAAGATCTCCCTCAAAACTTGGAAGGAAAAAGGTATGATCTTTCTTCATGAATGCAAGCTCCAAGTTTCAAAACAACCGTATGTTTATATGTAAAGGACACCACTTCTGCACTGCAGCATAACTTGCTATTTTCCAAATTATAGACATTTCCTAGAATGTTGCTGACATTAAAAGTGGAAGTCTGACAATAAACTACTTTGGTCACATAATTTAAAGAAAAATGCAGACAATTATTGGCATGGTTGGTAACACTCTCCCTTTAGAAGAGCAAAATCAGCACAGGGTAGTCATTCTTCTCATTCACCTTTTTATCAATTTTTCAGCTGTATAAAGACATGCTGATGCCTTCTAGCACATCTTTTAAAAATCTGCAGGAAAAAAAGCAAGGTCAGCACACTGCTCTTCAAGGAGTGACACACAAGGAAGGTCAAGTAATTAAGCCACAGACTAGAAGTTATACATAAAGGAGTCGCTGAAAGTGATCTTAACACGCAAACAAATCACAGAAAGGCACTGAACCAGATTTTGATTTTCACAATGTTTGATAACTGGAAAGGTTGTTTCATTTCTGAAAAATAAGTTAATACAAAATTTAAAAAACACTGATGTGCAAGTCTTTGCTGCATAAAAGGAGGTAAATTTTCATACTTTAAAATAGTTTAAAACATTTGTACATAACGAACAGAAATTCTCTTTTACATAAACAGAGTGTTTCTTTGCCAACAGCAGCTGTCAACTCCAAAACACAGAATTAAGATGACAAGAGAACCAGACAGTCTAAGTCACTGCCATTTGTGTCAAAAAAATTATGCCACCCTTTTCTACAGCTCATCATGCTTGTACGTAAATTCCCTTGCAGATATAAACCCATCACTGTCTTCATCTTCTTTATCAAATATATCTTCAACCAAAGCATCATGCTGGGTGTCATTTACCACTGCTCCATGCTTTTCAAATTCTTTCTTCAAGTAAATTTTCACCTATTAGACAAAAGGTGAGAGTTAATGTTTTTAGGCTTATGAAAGAATTGATTACTGTAGTGTAAGAGGGGGCCACTATGTTCAGGATGGTCGTATTAGACAATAGATACCTTCCTTCCTATGCCACTGCCACAGTAATACTTGTCCGATTCTGCAGCCTTGTTCAGTGATGAAAGACACTTTAGTTATATAAGCGACAGTAAACCTAGCAAATCAATTGCCGTACCCTTATGGTATCTGACTGAAAAGTGACCCAGGAAAACCTGTCATCTGATGTCTATACAATACAGTATAAGTAGTTAGGCAGAAGTTATTAGCTACCAATTGGTCAGAGACCCAAACAGCTTTTTCACATCCTAGCATTTTGACAAACCAGTAGATGTAAACAGCCGCCCCAAATATATACAGAAATGTGTCCACAACCTCAGCATTTGCTGCTCTAATGGGAATTACATTAATAAAGATTTATTTCTAGACATCTCAAAATTCTGAAGGACAAAGATTCAAGGTAGCTTTTAAACAGGCTACTGGAACAGTTATTTACACTAAGCTAGTTACTAATGGTAAGCAGTGTTTTAAACAACATCAGATTATTTTTACTGAGTTTAGTGTTTAACTATTGAGATCTTGAGTGTTCTAAATTGCAGAGCCTTCGACAAGAATATCAATACCAACATACCGACCTGTTAAACAGATACCACCTACATAACAAGAACTGTAACAGTGGACTATTAGCAGTAAGATAAATGGGCCTGTTTCAGGTCTGTTTTATTCATTTCACATTCTGGTATTTGTTAGGTTCATTGCTTATATTTTTAATACACAGACACTGACACTGTCTGTCTGATGCACAGTATAAAAGATTAGTCTTTTGGGTCTAGCAAACTGTACCAGCCCCAAATCAAAAAGAATGCAGTGGTTTATCCTAACTTCTCATGGATGACTTCCGCACATCAGAAAAGCAGAAGACTAAAAATAAGAGGCAAACAGAAGGTGAATAATGCTGAATAAATGTCCTTCAGACAGTGAATGCTATGAAGAAGCATTCTTCTACAGCAGAAGAAATTTCTAATTCCAGTTTATTAGTAAATCAGCAACTAACTCCAAAAAGCGCTTAAGTCTGGTTTTATTTCTAAGATTTTTTACTTTATCCCAGTCTCCCATAAGTGTGGGGCACACATCGGTCACATGCCTATGCCTCAGCTTACCGAGGCTGTTTTTGAACGCCCAGTCCAGCAGTTCCGCTGGGATCCAAGGCTCAGCGTGGTGCAGCATAGATATGCACCCGTGGCTTAGTTTTACTGGAAAAAAAAATCTATTGTTGAGGTCTAAGAAAGTATATGAACTGAAGCCGTGCAAGAAAGGCAAAGCACAGACAGGAGCTTAATTGTTGAGCCAGGAATAGTAGTTTAAGAGCATTCAGCAGGGAAGATACCAACACAAAAAGGCATAAAACTCCAAAGGCAAGAAAAGCAGAGAATTGGAAGGCAGCAACATTGAAAGTCATAGAATCATAGAATAGTTTGGGTTGGAAGGGACCTCTAAAGGTCATCTAGTCCAAACCCCCTGCCATGGGCAGGGACATCTTCAACTAGATCAGGTTGCTCAGAGCCCCGTCCAACCTGACCTGGAATGCTTCCAGGGATGGGGCATCCACCACCTCTCTGGGCAACCTGTGCCAGTGTTTCACCACCCTCAGCATAAAAAATGTCTTCCTTCTATCTAGTCTAAATCTACCCCCCTTTAGTTTAAAGCCATTCCCCCTTGTCCTGTCACAACAGGCCCTGCTAAAAAGTTTGCCGCCATCTTTTTTATAAGCCCCCTTTAAGTACTGAGAGGCTGCAATAAGGTCTCCCTAAAGCCTTCTCTTCTCTAGGCTGAGCTCTTCTCATCTCCAGGGAAGAACAGAGACTCGCCCTTCCCCACATGACTAACGACCACCTGGCCAGCAGTAACTTTTTGGGTGTCTTACCATTCATGATGAGCATATCAGTCCAGTAGTTATGCTAACAACTCATTAGTCCTAGTTACCCATACTGCGCATTGCCCAATAAATAATTGCTTTAACCACTCTTAAATAGCGTGTATTCTGCTTGCAGGTTGCTCTGTGCACAGTAGTAGCTAAAATCTAACTTGTGTTTAGATACTTCCCTAACAGGATCAAGTTAAGCTTATCTTTCCCTTTCCACTATCTCATCCTGTTAGGTTTGCTCACAAGAAGGGCAACCTACTCACCTCTTGCTTGGACAGTTTCCAGTCATCGTTAAGATCCATCTCTTGGAATGACTCATGAGATCTTGGTCCATTCCTAATTTCTAGAAGGTCAATGTTGAAAATCAGTGTGCTCTCAGGTGGAATTTTTCCTGCCCAAAATGGTAAACATGGAGAAAGGTTAAAAACAACTACATACTCAGTGCCATACAAAAGCCATATGTGTCAGAGCAATGTTCCAGTAATCCTACTACTTTCAAAGCATCCTGCAATTTGAACTAACAAGGGTAAGTATCTGTAACGGTGATAAGTGTAACTATTTCAGAGCGTAGCCTGGACCCTGAGCAGCCCTTACAGCACATATGCAACTTTAGATGCAACTAGTTTTGACTAGTGTATGTTGATGTGAGCTCATATTCAGCTATCGTCATCACAGGGTTGTGAGACAACGTTCTTGAATCTTTTTTTCATGGTCAGAGCCAGATAGAGTGCTAGTGCAAAACAGTGAAGGAGACGGTACAGCCAGCCAGGTGGCCACTACTGCAACATACAGCCAAGATAGATGGACAGGGTAGCAAGAAGGTAGAGATCAGTCCCCCTGATATGCCATAACCCCACCAGTCTCCAAATTCCTCTCCACTGCCAATTGACACCTTGTACCTGCTATTCTGCCACTGGAAAAACTCTTCTTGCAGAGAATGACAGAAGGGCAGCAATGCTGTCAGTATCCCATAGCTGTCTCTGGACTGTCACACAAAGCACTGAGCTATTTCCAAACACACAGCAGAAGCTAAGCATATAAATCTGCTAAAAAGACGTGTTGGCATCATTCCATTTTTGATGCAGGTGAACAGACTGGTAATTTCCTAATAGTGCCAAAGACCATCCCCTCCCCCCCCGAATTTCAGTTTATCAGGCATTGGCTTTTACAATGGTGTGATATGCCTTCACGCTGATGGCTGAAGCTACTGTCAAAGACCTTCTAGCACAACACTTTGCTCCTTATATATAGAGAGGCTGAATAGGACCAAATATATTTCTATATTGGATGGCAGCACCCCAAGAAAATATTCCTGTGCCTTAAGAAGATAGGGGAAAAAAACTAATCCACACCTACTATTTTGGAGCTATGGTGTTAAATACACCCTGAGCTGCAGCGACAAATGGGCTTGTACATTTCTGGGATGAATAAATGTGCAGAAACTTCTGGAAATACAGGGCACGGTGACCTGCTTAGAGTCTGGAACACAGGTAATTTTTCCAGAGTGTTACAGAAAAAGGCATCTGACTCATCATTCAAGTCAGACAGCAAGCAAGGGACCAGGTGGGAGGCTAGTGAAATTATGTGCATTCAGAGGAAAGCGTGAAGAACATGGAATAATTTTGTCTTCAAGGGCATCATGTGAAGATAGCAACATAATTATGTTCAAATACTTCGAAGTTTTCCTAAAGCAAGTAATTTCTTACAGCAGCTAGCAGTGTTTACTTGTTCAGCCTTGCACTAAACACAGAGGTGAAGCTTCCAAGTCTTTGAAGAACAACTGTAGTGCTTTACATATTAATCAAGGCAATTAGGCCTGTGATGACTATGTGAGCGCTGCAACATTTAGTATCTTTTTGTGGAGAAGTTTACAGCTGTGCCCTGCATATGGTCGACTAACTGACCGCCACAAGTTCCCTGTTCTCTACTAGAAACGTGATTACTTCTAATACTATCTCTTGAACTCCAAACCACGGCCTTCTAGAAATAATGTTTTAAAAGGATACTTTCAAGAAAGGAGGGTATGGAATATGCTTGTATGTATGGAGTACTACTTAGCCTATGTTCAGTCCTACTTGCCAGAAGATACAGACATGTAAACACTCATTCTTAAAACGGTCTTAGATTAATGGGAGAGGACAGTAGCAGGAAGGATTATATGTTCCAAGACATTTATCCTTTCTGCTTTGAAACCTTGCATTACCTTAGGTCATTTGTGATAACTGTTGTCATGACAAAAATATTCTAATAATTGCTCAAAAAAAGTTAACTAAAACAAACCCCATAAGCAGAAAAAGTAACCTTCCTGCATCTTTCAAAAACTGTCACTCATTTAACTGCAAATTGCAGATCTGGCCCTCCCATTAAAATAGGAATCTGGAAATGTTTGAAAGGAAAATGCCCAAACACCATCAGTAGTAGACAGGTTGAGAAAACATTACAATGTTTTTATCTGTCTGTACATCATTCAGTACATTATCAGCGGATGCCAGCATGACTGCCCATGTACCAGCATATCCTACTGTGGATAACAGGGACCACTGCCCAAACTGAAAATAGCTAAAAGAGGAAAAGAATTAAATGTCCCTATATGGAAACAAACAGTGACTTTTCACTGTATCAGCTAAGAACTGGCAGGGCAGCAGTACAGGGAAATTATTCAGGTTCTAAAAGAAGCCTGCAAACAAGAACAAGGCTTGCACATGCACATTCATGAAGTATTACCACAAACACAGATGCAACAGCCAAAAAGCCTAAAAGTTACCTAAGCAACCACTTCCAGCTTGACTGTAAAAAGGAAAGGAAAAAAAAAGCAGAGCACTGTTGAGCACAGCACAGCACTAACAGAAAAGACACTCAGAGCATACAGCACAGCAGCTACCATCAATTCCTATTTTTTCCTGCATTCACCACCTAACCACTTAATGGTTATTTCTGCAGAAAACAAATTTGTGAGAAGAGCACCTGACGCCATCAATTTTTCTTATTTAATGGAATCAGCCTGGAAAGCTTGAAAGCCTGCTAACCTCTTAGACCAAGAACAGTAAAATAGAGAGATTAAAGACAATTAAAGTATGGGAAGGACTTCAGGTGTTTTACCTTTCCCTTCTTTTCCATAAGCAAGGGCTGGTGGAATAGTTAGCTTCCGCTTCTCTCCCACACACATGTCCTTCAAACCTTTGTCCCATCCTTTGATAGCTTCCCTTATGCCAAGTGTAAACCACATAGGTTGACCATTGTTATGCTTGTGACTGGAAAAGAATGGAATAAACCACTTAGTCTGTAGACAGCAAGTTCCATAAATATTCTGCACACGAAGCAGATGGAAGATGCTCACAGCATAGATATATAATTAAAAACACACCGCTATTTGGCACCTTGGCATTTCTTAAATGAAAGACCTAGACTTTTAAAGTCTTTAAAACTTATGCCTTGCATGACAAGGTTCCTTAAGAAGTGGAAAAAAATAAAACAACATCTACATGGTGTGTATATGACAACACTCAGCAACCTGGATCCCCACACCTTCACTTCCCTGATCACCTATTTTGACTTTGAAACTGATCAGACCAGAAAGGCATTTCTACTTTAAAAAAAGTCTACATTCAAGGCCATGCGTATTCTTTGGTAAACTGCAAATCAAGAACCAGCTTGGTCATGATTACAATATACCTTATAAAATGCTTAGAAAAAATCAGCCACATCTCTTCCAAAAAAAGCCATTAGGAAAAAAAAACAACTACACAAGAGATAGTCTAGAAAAACAGAAAAAAATGCATGCAAAACATTCAAGTTTAAAATAGGCAGACAAGCCCCTTTTCCAATTTAACCAGGTGGTACACCCGGACTACTTTCACTCTACTGAAAGACACAGAATTTTAAAAGCTCGATTTACTAGTCATGCAGGAAAGGTGCTTAAGAAGAAAACAGAGCACTTACAGAAGTTAGTCAGCAGCAAAAACTTAAAGAGTGTCACTAGAACTCCTTTTAGAGAGGCAGGTTAACTACAAGAGAAAATTAGTGAGATTTTAGTTTAAATCGTCTGCAAGAGCATAAATATGCAAAACATTGTCTTTCTTTTTTTTTTTTTAATATGTTCCACAAAAGTAGACTTCAGACATAGCCTACAGATACTCGAGCATTTTGCTGTCTCCCACTATTAGCACATCGTTGATGTTTTATAGGAAAGGCAACATTAGCAAGTCGTTGCAGGCTCTTAGCAGACTCCCTCGAATTTCTGGCTCTTCCTCCTGCTTGCATTACTGTGGCTCTGGTATGTTGATTCGTCTGGTCAGGGGCAGGTGAAGAATATGCCGTTTCAGTAACGAAAAGGTATCATTGTGCTGCCAGTAGTGTAAGGATATATATAACGTTTGTTTTTTAAAATTAGAGGCAGATTTCTACCCTAGAAGTTTGCTTTAGAAACCAGACAAATCCATGCATAGCAGAAGACTTATTAAACCGCTGAGATCATATACCAGAACCTGTGTCTGAATTGCAGAAGAGGATGCCTAACATCCCCATCTTTTAACAAATACCACACGGCTCTACTTTCTACAGACTAACAAGAAAACAAAAGCTAAATAAGATTTATTTTATAGCGTCAATCTGGCAGAGGGAAAGGAGATAAGCTTACTGTTGGTGTTCATCTTCAACAGCGTTGTGAATCAGTGCTTCCTAAACTGTCGAAGTATAAAGGCAAACCAAACTTTCTGAAAATAAGCGGCGATGAAAAGGGTCCCAGACACAAGTCTGTGCAGCGTTATTTAAGCTATTTTAATTCAGTAACAAATAAAATCTAGGGCACGCTATGAACACGCATTCATTGCTTTTGTTTCCTTGCACACAGGTAAACTCAAGTTTTGGGCGTTTCTGGAGGGAGGGGTAGTTGCAAAAACAAAGTAAAAAGCCACCCGCCCTCAACACTCCTCAGAGAGCTATTTCGCAGATGGATTGCGGGCCACTGTAAGGGGTCCACATTTAGGAAGTCGCCTACATTAGGTGATCACCTACATTAAGACACATATACAGATGCATTTCCCCGCGCAAGCTTACCCACCAGCCCGCCCGAAGGCGCGCCGCCCGGGGCGAGCTACTTACGTGGAGTGAAACATGGAGCCGTCCCTCTCCAAGTAGCCCTCGTAGTGAACCAGCATCATGCCCCCCCACTTGGTCCTCCTGTGGCAGAGGAACGGCTTCTGCAGCACCTCCACCTTCACGTCAGCCGCGGGGATCAGCGCCGCGGCCGCGCAGCCCAGCGCC